CAGCCTCTAAAGCCCAAATAAACTCTAATTGTGTTCCCTCTCACTTGGCACTTTTCTGTTTTTGGCTGCCAAACAAGGACCACCATTACGTGGCGTCCAGTTTCTAACAAACGTCTGATTGAAAGGGACTCAAACTCCTTCGCCTTATTTGGTTTGGTGCTTTTCATCGCCTGGTCAACAGCGCAAACATGGAAACACCAGAAACAAGCACAACAATACTTTAAACCTCTCAAAAACAGAGTGGAACAGTAAAAGTTTATGCAAATAACCACACTAACCACAGGCTAAATAACAAGGCTAAATTCATCTGAAACTCTTTGGTCACAGTGCAGTAATGTTTAAGAATTCAACCACCTGCATAAATACGCTGCAAAGGAGTCACAAGGCCGCCATTTCTGAGAGAATAAAACGATCCAAGCAAAATAGTTAACTTAGTGTTTGGACTGTTTAACAGGGTTAAAACTGTCCAACTGTGTAACCCCGGCCCTGCATTATAAAATGAACTCCCTTAGATTGAATGCAAAAAAATAAATAAAAACAGCAGGCAGCAACCTTTGAGGTAAGGGTTCAGATTAAAAGTGTTATATAGACAGAGACACAAATCTCTTCCTAAGAAAAAAGGGAAAAATACAACTTGAAGCTGTGAAAAACCATTTCAAAGTGCCAAAGACCTTAGCCAGGTCTGAAGACTTCTCTTCTAACAAGATAGTAACTCACAGTGTAAATCTTTAGAGAACAAAAAGCAGCGATTTCTTGTACAAACCAGCCAAAGCTCAGAAAGAAAAAAGAAAAGCTTGCCCTGCATTTGGGCAGCGGTTAGGGTGCGGCTTAGGTGCCAGCACGGATGAGCCAATGTCTGAGGGAATGTGAGACAGCTTTTTTAAGGGCACTAGTGTGTGTCTATGCTGGGAAATGGGACATGTGTGCTCTTACACAGAGAACAATGGCAGGTGTTCATGTGGTTTTACAAAGCAAGTAAAAACAAACCCTTTTAAGTAGGCAACAGCAATTTGTTTATGGTTATATTTATGCAGATATTTTAAATTCTAACTTTTAACATTTTATAATTAGGTCGTTCTTTAACCCTGTCATGCATGAATTATGACAACCTCAATCAGGATTTTTGGCTTAAGTATTTTTATTCATCTTTTCATGCCTAGAGA